GCACCTAGGTTGGCTCCATAGCTTAGCTATTGTAAACTAAACTACAATAAACATTGATGTGGCCACATCACTAGAATATGCTGATTTTAAAACTTTTGGATATATGCTGAGGAGTGAGATAGCTGGGTCAAATGGTGGTTCCAATCCTAGTTTTCTGAGGAATCTCCATACTACTTTCCAAAGTGGTTGCACCAATTTGCAGTCCCACCAGCAATGTACGAATGAACCTTTTACCAAAATCCTCGCCAACACTTATTGTTCCTTGATAATTGCCATTCTGACTGGAGTGAGATGGAATCTCAGTGTAGTTTTAATTTGCATTTCTCTAATTGCTAGAGATGGTGAACATTTTTTCATAGATTTGTTGATCATTCATATTTCTTCCTTTGAGAAGAGGGTCTGCTCAGTTCCTTTGCCCATTTATCGACTGGGTTATTTGGAAAAACAGACTTAATGAAAACATGGTCTCCCGTTTCTGAATGGAAGAGCTACAGCTGAAAAACATAATAAAGAAAAATCATGCTGCAGAGTAAAGAATAATAGTAATAAATAAAGAAGATCTAAAGCTAAAGCTACTCAGCTTGTTCCATGAAATAGGAAAGGATGGAGCACTTCCAAATTCACCCTAGAAAGCCAGTATCATCTTCATACCAAAATCATATGTGCACACATCAAAGAAAGAAAACTACAGACCAATATCTCTGATGACCATAGATGCAAAAATCCTTAATAAAACATTATAAATCATATTCAACAACATATTAGAAGATTGTACATCAGGACAAACTTGGATAGTTTAACATAATCAAATCAATAAATATAAACAACCATATAGATAGAATCAAGGACAAAAAGTGAACAGACATTTCAATAGAGGCAGAGAAAGTCTGGAAAAATTTAACACCTTTACGTAATAAAAAAAAATGGAAGAACAAGGAACAGAAGTAACTTACTACAACATCATAATGGCTATATATGAAAAAACAAAAGCTAACCTCATAGTAAGTGGGGGGGAAACCAAAAGCATTTCCTTTAAAATCTGGGACAAGACAAGGATGTCCTCTCTCACCACTTCTATTTAATGTGGTGCTGAAAATTCTAGCCAGAGCAATTAGGTAGGAGAAAGAAACAAAAGTGATAAAAATAGGAAAATAAGAAGTCAAATTATCACTCTTCAGATGATACCATCCTATACTTAGAAGATCCAAAAATTCCACCAGAAGACTACTAGAGATAATAAATTCAGCAAAGTAGCAGGTTACAAAAATCAACATACAAAAACCCAAAGCTGGGCTGGGGTTGTGGCTCAGTGGTAGAGCATGGCCTAGCACATGTGAGGCACTGGGTTTGATCCTCATAAAAATAAATAAATAAAGTTATTTTTTTAAAAAAAAGCTTTTCTATATACCAGTAATAAATATACAGAGAAATAAATCAGGAAAACAATCACATTCACAGTAGCCTCAAAAATAAAGTAAAATACCTAGGAATAAATCTATCCCAGGAGGTGAATGACCTCTACATGAAATCTATAGATAGAACATTGAAGAAGACACAAGATGTAAAGACCTCCCATCTTCATGGATAGGCAGAATTCATATCGTTAAGATGGCCATCCTACCTAAAGGAATATACAGACTGAACACAATCCCCATCAAAATACCAATGACATTCTTCACAAGGCTGTGAGGCAGAGAAAGTCCTAAAATTCATTTGGAAGAATAAAAGACCCAGAATAGCCAAAGCAATTCTAAGCTGAAAAAGCAATGGTGAAAGTATCACAATAACTGACTTCCAATTACACTACAGAGCTATAGTAACAAAAACTGCATGGTACTGGCATAAAAACAGACAGTTAAGCAAATAGTGCAGAACAGAAGGCACAGACCAATGTAGTCATCTGATTCCTGACAAAGATGCCAAAAACAAACACTGGAGAAAAGGCATCCTTTTAAACAAATGGCACTGGGAAAATTCATTATCCATATGTAGAAGAATGAAACTAGAGCCCTACCTCTTACCCTGCACAAAAGTCAACTCAAAGTGGATCAAAGAGCTAGGAATTAGACTAGAAACCTTGCAACAGCTAGAAGAAAATGTAGGCTCAACACTTCAACTTGTCAGCACAAGCACCAACTTCCTTAAGCCCCTAAAGCTCAAGACATAAAATCAAGAATCAATAAGTGGAACAGCATCAAATTTAATAGATTCTACACAGCAAAGAATATAAGACATGAAGAGACACCTGCAAAATGGGAGATCTTACCACCAGCTCCACTGCCAGGGAATCAATATACAGAACATATAAAGAACTCAAAAAGTTCAACACCAAAAGTAAAACAGCTCAATCATAAATGGATAAAAATAACACTCCAATATACAGGCACAAGCAATAACTTTCTCAATGACACCTAAAACTCAGGGAAATAATGCCATAGTTAATAATGGGATGGCATCAAAGTAAGAAGCTTTTATACAGGAAAGGAATCCAGAAGGTGAAGAGAGAACCTATAAAATGGGACAAAAAATCTTTGCTAGCTACTCTTATAGTAGAGGATTAATATCTATAATATACAAAGAACCCAAAAAAACTTAACAATAAAAAAACAAATAACCCAATTAATAAATTGGCAAATGAACTAAGCAGACACTTCTCAAAAGAAGAAATACAAAGGACTGGGATTGTAGCTCAATGGTAGAGCATTTGCCTAGCATATGTGAGGCACTGGGTTTGATTCTCAGCACCACATAAATAAATAAATAATAATAAATATAATTTTTTTTAAAAAAGAAGAAATACAAATTGCCAACAAATACATGAAAACATGTTCAGCATCTCTAGCAATCAGGGAAATGCAAATCAAAACTGTTTTGAGACTTCATGTCACTCCAGTCAAAATGGCAATTATCAAGAATACAAATAATAGTAAATTCTGGTGAGGATGCAGGGGAAAAGACTGCAAATTAGAACCACCATTCTGGAAAGCAGTATGGAAATTCCTCAAAAGATTAAGGATGGAACCATCCTATGACCCAACTATCCCACTCCTTGGCAATTATTCCAAAGAACTAAAATCAGCATGCTTTATCGTAAAATGCGTAATGTCCGGCTGCAGCAAAATAACCGGGAGGGGGGGGGGGGTTGACGAGCAACTTGTGTAGATTGATACAGCAGGAGTGGGAGCCATTGTAGGACAGGAGGAGTATATATACATTCCACACAGCTTATCTTAATTAACATAAACTAGATACAGCAGTCAACCAATAAGAAATCTCCACACTTAATGGCTCACTGGCACCACCTCACAAACCACTCCCCCTGGCAAAATGCCAGGCACCATCCCAACTTGTTTACAGACTCTAACAGTAAAACAGCTACCACAGTGTTTATAACAGCACAATTCATGGTATCCAAGTTATGGAACCGGTCTAGAGGCCCAGCAACAGATGAATGGATTTAAAAAAAAATGTGGCATATATACACAATGGAGTTCTACTCAGCCATTAAGAAGAATTTGCTACTAAAAGGATGGAACTGGAGAACATCATGCTGAGGTTAAGTGAGCCAGACTCAGAAAGCCAAGGATCAAGTATTTTCTCTCATATGCAGAAGCTAGAACGAAGTCAGAGGGGGGAGGTGGTGGGCATTCTATGGCAATAAAAGAGAGATCAGTTGAGCAGAGGAAAGGGACAAAGCAGGAGGAACAAGGGAGGAGGAAGGGGAGGAACAGTGGAGAGAAATCAATAGAACTTGCTGTGTATATGGGTGTATATACCACAGTAAATTTCACCTCTGTGTTTACATATAAGGCACCAATTTTTTAAAAAAATATATGTAAATAGAAAGAAGCCCAATACAGTACAGGACGAGGAACAGGGGGAAGGAAGAGAGGAGAGAGAGAGGATAAGGACTCAGGACTGAATTGGAGATTATATTTCATGCTTGTATGATTATGCCAAAATGAACCCCAATGTTATGTTTGACCATAATGCACTAATAAATACAAAAGAAAAAACAAAAATTTAGAAATTGGCAATGATCTGATTGACATTTCTCAAAATAGAAAATGCAAATAGCCACAGGTACATGAAAAACAAAATGTTCAAAATCACTAATCAATGGGGAAATTCAAAACCACAGTTAAAAAATTATCACAGTTAAAAAAAAAAGGCTCTTACCCAAAAAGACTAAAAATTAGAAATGCTACTGGAGATGAGGAGATAATGGAACCTTTGTACACTGTTGGTAGGAATGTAAACTAGTATAGCCACTATAAGTAAAAATGGAGCTGCCACATTATCCAGCCATCTCACTACTGGCCACATCCCCCAAAGACACCTGCTCTCCTGCTTACTGCAGCCCCAGCCCAGCAGCTAGGAAGTGCCCACTGGCCAGGGAGTGAACACAGAAAACGAGACTGGTGGACATAATGGAGTGCTCTGGAGCCATGAAAATCGTGACATGGCTGGACCTGGAGATGACTGCATTACGTGGGATAAGCAGGCACAGAAGGGCAGGAGCCACATGCCACTGACACATGGGACCTGAAACAGCTGGTCTCACAGAAGTTGAGAGAAAGGTGGTTTCCAGAAGTGGGGAATGGGGAAAGGCTGCTCAGCGAGCACTAGAGTGCAGTTAGACAAAAGCAGGGAGTCTGATGCACTTTGCACAGCAAGGACCTAGCCAACAACGATGGCCTGCACGTCTCAGAGAGTTGGAGGAAAGGGCTGGGAAGGTCTTCAGCACAAGGAAGTGCTAAGTATATGAGGAGATCTACATTTTTACCCTGTAAACACCACACAAGGTCAATGTGTTGAACCATCACTTTACTGCAGCAGTGTGTACAACTTGTGTTTTCATGTACCAGCTAAAACTTGTTTATTAAAAAGTTAAATAGATCCAGGTGCAGTGGTACATGCCTGTAATCCCAGTGGTTCAGGAGGCTGAGGCAGGAGGATCTCAAGTTCAAGGCCATCCTCAGCAATTTAGTGAGGCCCTCTCTCAAAATAAAGAATAAAAGGGGTTGGAGATGTGGTTCAGATGTTAAGCACCTCTGGGTTCAATCCTCAGTACAAAAAAAAAGAAAAAGTTAAATAGCTGGAGTCACTCTCAAGGACACCTAAATACACAAAGCTCTCTGGGCAAGTGAGACACATTTTATTATAATTTTGGTCTGCACATCACTTTGCATTTTCTACCCAATTCATAAAACCAATACATGAGAAGCATTGGTGTGTGTCTTACCAGGTACCAATGAACAGAGAGATAATGTGTTGCATCAATGACTTTAAAGAGGTAGTTTGTGTACATTGACATCAATTCACATTTGACTGTTATAATTTCATGATGTCACCTGAAATACCAACAGCAGCCAAAAAGAAAATAAAGAGTAGACATGCAAGGAAATACTAATGGAAACAAAACATCACTACAAAAAAAAACTCAGCCCACAATAAGGCAATATGTGAGGATGTTAATGAATTCTCACATTAAATCTTTCTGGGCTACATAAATTTGGAAACTGTTTTAAATAAAGCCAAGCAAAGTCGTAGTTTTGTTCATATAGTAAAAAGTTATATAGGAAACTAACTCTATTTTGTTAATTGTGGAAAGAGCAAAAATAAACTATGATTTGGTGGTTTATACTTTGAGAATACCAATGGAAAAAAATTATAGTTTATTTTAGGGTGAATAATTTTTGCTATAATAAAATGATTCTTCCATTATTACCTTAAAAGTCCATTCTTAACTATAGAGGAGCAATAATTTTTACAAGGTTAATTTTATTGTTTTTGGCTATGGCATAACATTGGTGAGTCTGATTTTAATAACATTTGATTAAGATGAAAGAAAGAGAATACAAGTCTTTCAGCAATACAACACACAAGCATGTTGAAAAGCATTAACAAGTTACATTGTCTTCTAAAATTCACGTACCAAATTAGTTTGTGCGTATAATGTAGCTGATGTATTCTTGCAGCATTCATTTATTCAACTACTAATATCCACTGTGGGTCAGGAATCGTCTAAGCCCAGGAATGAAAACCTAAGTGAGCAAAACAAAGATCCTGTCCTTGCAGAGATTGCGCTAGAAAACCATATAGCAGACCCTTCCTCCCCCATTGTAAAACGATTAACAACATGCATATGTGAAGCTGACAGGCACCTGCCTTCCCATCCTGTTTTTCACAGAACAACACTATGCAGTGACGGTTTAATCAAAGATCATGTTTTTGGAAATATTTTGAGACTATACTACAATATTCTGATATCCTAAAAATGCTATAATTAAAATGAATGCAGCAATAAAAGTTCAACAAAAGCAAACATTACTCTGGAAAGGCTCTGTGTGCTAAACCAGATGTAGCTGGAGGGAACAGAGGGAAAGACCCTCGAAAGTTGTATTTTAATAGACTGAGCCATGGTGGAAGTCGGCCACACTCACATAAACTGATGGAAACATTTTAAATTCAGAAAATACAGCACATAAGGCCAGAAGAAAGTTTTCACCAAAGGAAAAAAAAATCTTACTTTCCATAATTTTGAACACTTTTAGACTCAACTTACTGAAAATCTTCCCGGCATATATAACATCGTCACCTAAATGGCACTCCCGGCTGCCCATTGTACTGTCTCTAGACTTTGAACCTTTTATCCTAATATCAGTTTTACAGAGCTCTGACATGAAAGCACAAGGATTCCAACCAAAAGTCAATATCCTATCGTAATGAAAATTAACAAGGACTTGTTATCAGTAGAATTGATAAGGAAATTGATAATGACCTCTTTATAACATTTTATGCCTACCATTTCAAACGAAGCCCACAGTTTCTACTGAGATGTGAATCTTAAGTCACTACTGGAGCCACAGCCATGGCTATGGTAAAAGAACCTCCTCCCCAAACCCACTCTATTTGTACTGTGCTGCCTACTTCTTTTTTCCCTTGTGAACTGGTTCTGAGCGACACTGCTCATCTATGACACAGCACCTAACAAGGACTCCACGTTCGAGTGGAAGAAGCACACAGAGAGACAACCAGTGAGTTCTCAAGGCCAGAGCCGGAACCAGAGCTCACTGCCATGATTCAGCAGAGGGGACAGAGAGTGACAGAAGCCTGCACAGCTGGAAGGTAAAAAGACTACTTCTTACGCTCTTTGTCCTTCCTCATGTTGGCGCACAGCTGAGCCTGCACATTTTCAGAGGCAGCCTTTGTTTTACAGAAGTCGATGATTTCTTCTTCCAGTTTTCTTCTCTCTCCTTCAAGCTTTATTATCTCCTCTTGTTGAAATCTTTTAAGGTGCTCAAACTTGTCCTGCAGCTGTAAGACAAATGTGCAGTCATGACCCAAATCCAAGTGTTACAGAACAGCTGAAGAACAGATTGTCTTTTCCTGAACATCAAACAATATTTAAAGATTCATTATATTTTCATGGGTTTTCATATGTGTAATTCTTTTTGTTGATTTTAAAACTGAATATGCCTTCACTAAACAAAGTGATGTTATGGGGTTGGGGGTGTAGCTCAGTCAGTAGAGTACTTGCCCCTTCCAGCCCATGCACAGGCCCTGGGTTCCATCCCCAGCACCATTAAAAAAAAATTCTGTGAACAAAAATTTTTAAACATTTTCCTTTTTCCTAAGAAAGTACATGTTCTAACTCTTTTATTCCACAGGGTCTCTTTGAATGAAATTGCTAAATCTAGGCTCACAGTCTGCACAAAATCCTTGTAGTCTGCCAGGTGCAGTGGCACACACCTGAAATCCCAAAGGCTTGGGAGACTAAGACAGGAGGATCACAAGTTCAAAACCAGCTTCAGCAACAGTGAGGTGCTAAGCAACTCAGTAGACCCTGCTCTAAATAAAATACAAAATAGGGCTGAGGATGTGGCTCAGTGGTCGAGGGCTCTGAGTTCAATCCCCAGTACACAACAACAAAAAATCCTGTAATCCTATAGCTAGCAAAACTCATTGCAGGCAGAGGAAGGAAAAGTGGGGCTCCATCCACTGCTCAGGTTCACCTGTGTGTGCACCAAAACCTCCACATTGCACGTGAAGTGCCCCCCACAAGCAGGAGAGGGTGTGGGCTGCTGCGCAGAGCCAGAGCTAGTCCCCCAGGAAAGCCAGGGCCACATGGACCCAGGCCAACCAGAAAATGTCCATAACCACCTCCCAAGGCAGCAGAGGAGGATGATCAGAGCATTGCAGCCAACCCTGTCCTTCCATGTTTCCACACATACCAGAAAGCTTCAGGGCACAGAGACTTCTGCCTGAACCGGAAGGGGAGGCAGCAACAGGACTGAGGACAGCACAGCCCCCCAGTGGCCACCGTCCCTGAGGCTCACAGAGCAAGGCCCAGATCCCCCTGTGCATAAGCTGGGTAAAGGAGGAGGACAGGATAGTACCTGGATGGACACACCACAGTGGCTAAGCTGATCCCAATGTGGGAGAACAAACAGACCCCCTCAGTGTGGTGCTGAGTGGCTGAGATGCTGCCTCTGGCCCAAGGCGGTAGGGGCCTGGACCAACCATGGCCTCATAGCTGAAGTGCCTGAGGAAGCGCCCTATGGGCCTCAGCAGAAAGTATGTGCAGCCTCCCCACAGGTTTCTGTATCACCTGTGTTCTTCTGAGTCCCCCTGCTTGGCTTCCTATGTCCCCTTTGATTTCCTAATTCTGTGTAATTTTAAGCATTTTTAAATTCAGTCATTAGATTTTTCTTTTTCCTTCTTTCATTTGCATACCTTCCCCTTCTCTTCTTTCATTCTTTTCTTGATTTTTTTATATCCCACTTCCTCCTCTATTTTTTATAGAGTTTAACCCTAATTTTACTTTCTCTATTATCTAATTTTTAGCACATTCTATATAATCATTCCACTTTTCTTCTCTTTAATTAACAGAGTGGTAGAGATAATTTTAAATGCACTTTAAAAATTTTTTAAATGAGCTTTTACTGTACATTGACATATACTCTGCTTTGAAGCTACAGCTATTGCTGATGGTTATTCTCCCAAAGCAGAGCTGAGAATTGCACACAGCACTTTGAACAAGCTGAGTGGATGTGCTGAGGTTAAGATAAACCTCCAGTGGCAGGGCACATTTATGAGGAGAATGGAGTTCACAAAAAAACCATCATCTAACAATACTAAAGATATCCATCCCAACATAAAAGCAAATGTCAACATCAAAACACAGACAACATGAGAAAACAAAGTGATAAGATGACTCCAAAGTTCAAACTCCAAAACAATTAAATCCAGATATATCCAAGTTGAGAAAATTTTAGACAAAAAAGAAATTTTGATTGTTTAGCTTCCACATATCAGAGAAAACATTCAACCTTTGGTTTGGAGGGACTGGTTTATTTCACTTAGCTTGATAGTCTCCAGTTCCATCCATTTACCAGCAAATGCCATAAAGTCATTCTTCTTTAAGACTGAGTAACATTCCACTATGTATATATACCACATTTTGTTTATCCATTCACCTGTTGAAGGGCCTCTGAGTTGGCTCAATAGCCTAGCTATTGTGAATTGTGCTGCTATAAACATTGATGTGGCTAATGGCAGAAAGATCAATAGAGGAAAGGAGCAAGGGGTTGGGGAGGGGAAGGAGAGGTACTAGGGACTGATTTAGATCAAGATATATTTCTTTTTTATTGATTTTATTTTTTTAAATACATGACAACAGTCGGAATGCATTACAATCCTTATTACACATATAGAGCACAATTTTCATATCTCTGTATATAAAGTATGTTTCAAGATATATTTCATGCTTTTGTAATTATGTCCAAATGGATTCTATTGTCATGTACAACTAAAAGGACAGATAAAATGTAAATAACGAAGAAATTTTTAAAGTTGATTGTTTAAATCATCTATGAATTGTTTTTTAAAGTCTAAGGATCAAACTAAAGGAAAAAAATACAGTATATAAAAAAAAATCTGAATAATGAGGGAGATATTCTGGGCTGGGGCTGGGGCTCAGTAGTACAGCAAGTGTTTAGCATGTGTGAGGCACTGGGTTCAATCCACAGCACCACAATAAAAAAAAAACTAAATAAACATAATAAAGGTATTGTGTCCATCTACAACAAAAAATATTTTTAAAAAGAGATAGCTATTCTGAAAAAGTTTTTAAAAAGCTAAATAGATGGACTCACTGTCAAGGGCATCTAAATACACAAGGCTCTCTGGGCAAGTGTGAAGCATTTCATCATGACTTTAGTTTGTACATCACTTGGCATTTTCTTGTTTGTTTGTTTGTTTTTCTTTGAAGTGTTGGGGATCAAACCCAAGGCCTTGTGCATGCAAAGCAAGCCCTTTACCAACTGAGCCATATCCCCAACACTCATTTTCTACCAAATTTATAAAACTGGGAGAAGGGATGGGAGGAAAAGGACAGGGAGAGGGAGAGAAGGACCACCACAATTAGCAGCAGGAGGATAACAGCAGAAGAGCCCTGTGAGTTTCTGAAATCCAAAGACACATCCCACAACTGCCTTTTCCTGGAATTGGCATTAGTTATCTTCAAAACTGCAACCCACGGGCACAGTGGTGCATGCCTGTAATCCCAGAAGCTAAGGAGGGAGAGGCAGAAGGATTGTGAGCTCAAAGCCAGCCTCAGCAACTTGGTGAGGCCCTGAGCAACTTAGCAAGACCCTGTCTCAAAATAAAATATAAAAAAGGGCTGAGGGTTGGGGTTCCGTGGTTAAATGCCCCTGGG